TTATATTATATTATATTATATTATACATGACGTGTGCAGCACACGCTGCAATTATCGGCGGTACTTATTAAATGCGAGTACCTATTACCATGTATTCGGAGTGAGAAAAAAAATATTTAAAACTGGAATGTGTATAATATTATTATAATAACATTTAATGTGTGCTGTGAGCTGGGTACTGCGATGTGGCAAAAAAAAAAAACAAATTATAATTGTGTGCCCTCATAGCTGCTCGACCGGCCGCGGAGTTGCTCAATAATGAAACGGTTTCGCGACGAAAATGAGATCATCACGTAACACATCGATATTATATTATATTTTCATTTTCGATCGGACGGTATGATAGAGTGGCATCGGATGCACATTATTATATTGTAATCCGCAAGTCGTACGGATGAAAAATAGAGGCTCGTCGGGCGAAGACTTTTTTTTTTGGGGGGGGAAATAACGCACAATTATAGATGAATTAACCTAACCTAACCCGAGGCGTGAGTATTCTCTACACCCACACGTCATGCCGGCACAACTCACCCGTCTAGGGGGGGTGGGTGAAAAAAGGGTGATGGGTGGAAAAAAAAATATAATAAATATTGCAATCTACAGGTGGCTTACCTCGAGCGGGGCCCGTCCTGCGCCGTACTTTGGGCGGCAGTGACACTCCGAAGACGTCTTCAGGGCGTCATCGCCGTCTGCGGTGCCTCGTGTGGACGAGGAGAGTCCAATGCCGGCGATGTCGACCGATTGCCGTGCGGATAGATTTTTCTTTTCCGCTACGACGGTGGCGGATACGCGTGTCGATCGCGGACGATAGATGTCGATGTGCTCGGCGGCGGTGCGTTGTCGGGACGCGGATTGTAGGTCAAGCGGAGGATACGCACGCGGACGGCGACAAGCGGTACGGACGACGCGCGCAGCACGACAGACGTGCTCGTACAACAGGACGCGACGAGCGTACTCATATACGCGGTCGACTGCGACGACGGCACACGCGAGCGGACACACTTGCACGCAAACACACACACACACACACACACGGGCGCGAGCCAACACTTCAGTACTCGCGGAGAGAGAATATTGCGACGCGAGCGCAGTGCGACGACGGTGACGATTACGATAATATAATATAATATAGCTCTTATGATTTTAATTTCGTTTGTCTATAATTTATGTGTCGTATAGTATAGCATACGGCAATGTGTTATTGTATCGACGGTGTTGAAACAACGGTATAAGACATACGCGTGGACGGCGACCGACTGTCTGGACGACTGATCGACTGAATGACTGCAGACCGACTCGCTCTGTCCGGTCCGTCAGCGGCGGTGGTGATGGTGGCGACTGAGAGCGTCCGCCACGAAGTCATACCCCTTTTTTTTTTCTCTTTCTTTCCGTTCCGTTCCGTTTCGTTTTTTTTCGCGCGCGAATATCCTATCCGTCGCCACCGCTTCTCCCCCCCCCCACCCCCCGACGACCCGCGCCCGTCGGCCACGGCCGCTCGCGCTCACGTGCCGCCGGCGTTCGAGCGCCGTCGATGTCCGTCGCGACCGCGGCCGAGGAGAAGTCGGTCGAACCTGGCGGTGCGGTGCGACATTATTATGATTTCGCTAAAATATGTTTTTGACATCACAACGTTATGTTAACATTATTATAATATCGAAGGCGTTGAACTTTTCGAAAAATATTCCGTTTGTCTATAAACGTGTCCGTTTTTTTGCAAACGATTCACGACGAGGTGATAGTACCTAACGCGCACTTTGAGGATCTGAAGAAAATTCGATGTTGCATGAACCCGTGGAGCTCGAGTGGAAAAACCACGCGAGGAAAATTCGCACGTCCGATGACCTGCCATTGACGGGGTCGTAACATCCCCAGCGTTGAACTCGATGGTTTTACGAGGACCGTCATCAGTGCTTATAATCGTTCACCGCAAACGCTTTGCCGCGGGAACATCTCTTCGAATCGCGAAGACCACTTTGTTAGCCGTTACAGGTGTTTGAAAACGAATATAACTGACTGGGGAGTGCGTGAGTGATGGTGATTCGTGGATCCCTGCAGGAAATAATAATAATAATAATAATTCTAGAGGTCGTACCGATATAATATACCTAATATAGAGTTGTATGTTATCATATCATTTAGATCGGCTCGTCCGTCACGATTCCTTGGCCGAACTTCAGATCCACCTTCGGATTTAGAAGAGTATATTTAACTTTTTTTTTTTATCGTGTAGAACTAAACATATTAATTGTAGACTATACAGATGTACACTACTAACTACCAATGAACAGTTTAAATTTGTTTTTAACATGAAGTTGATAATGATAATAGGTACCTATTACCTATAAGGAGCTTTATTGTCCACATATCATCTACTATAGAAAAAAAAAATCATTAATAGACCACTGTTCAGATCTGATCGAACTGGCGCAGAATCATCTATAATAATACAGTAGCAATATATGATACACATTATTTGATATTCCAGTCCACTTGAATAACGTACAGAGTAGATGTATGCATATACTTGCTTATGTGAAGGTGGGCGCATTAACTATAGTACTAAAACAAATTATTCTTTTAAAAAACTTTTTTACTGACCAACTATTGTGTTAATGTTCTAATTAAATTTTAACTTAACTAGTTTGATTTATACTATCGAAATAACTTAATACTTATCAATTGATTATTTTCGGTTTTAATAGTAGTATACATTAATTACTGCACCTATATATAATAGATACCTACGCGGTTTCGAATAACAATAATCCCATACCATAGGTATATAATGTTAGTATAATAAATAATAATGCTATCATTTCTGCAGTCATGTTTCTTGATAAAATAACATTATGCAAAACTATAGATACGCCCAAAACACGGATTATGTGACCTTGTACTAATTAAAAAAGTTGATATTAACTTTTTTAAATGAGATATAAGTCAATATGTTTTCCAAATTGTCTTTAGATTTAGCTGGTTATTTATATATAGATTTGTTTTCTATTAACTGCACCGAAGGTGGTACCCATAGAGAGCCTATCTAGGCTCTCTAGTGGTACCTAGTGGTAGTTGTTCGAATCCACTCGGATGACTCGGAGAACTCAGATGCGTTTCAAAATTTTCCGTCCAACTATACGTACCAATATAGTCGTCGAAAACACTTAACTCATCGCGGTGCACGTCATGCACTCGGACGAGCGTAACTTAAATAACGATTACGATTTACGGTATAGAGCGCTGTTTCTTTATTATATACCTTCAATGCGTCTATATATATTATATATGACTATATGAGTAAATCCGAAGAGATTTAGAATATTATATATACATTAAACAATATATATATTTATATATGTTATTAATTATATTATTGTTCCGTCGAGAAGACCGGTTCGTATTAATCGCATAATAATAATAGGCATCGACGTCAATAATACACACAATATATATTATTATTATATCATATACATATATAGTATGTAGGTACACCTATATGGTATATACCTAGTACTTTATGGCTACCTAATACCTATATAACGGCCAAGTTGCACACTATCATGAATACAGTTATATACAATTGAAACGATGATTGTACATTAATTGCACAGTCAAATTAGATAAATATATATTGGTATGAATTAATGGCGGCTGCGTCGTCTTCCGAGGTGTATATTTTGTACACTTATATAGGTACCGCGCCTGTATTATTATAATATATACTTGAGAGGAAAATGTTAATTTTTACCGAAACCTACTGCTGTGCGATATGCACGTAAAACGATAATATCTAAACACTGTAATTTGCCATATTATCCGTCGAATATCGTCATCGTGGACGTAGTCGTCATGTAGAATTTAAAAAAAAAAAAACTAAAAAAGTTGCACTGGCATACTAACCAACCCCTTGGACTACTGCAGCAATGATTTCGTTTAATTTATAATATCATATTACTGGTGGATTTGAAAAATAATCGATTCGTCAACTTCCCGTTGAAGTATATGTATATTGTTGATATAATAATAGTATATCACGGAATATTATAATATGATAATAAACATTGAACAAAATTCCGTGTGTAGTGCCTATACCTACCTATATTTAGGTGTTTCGTGTCGAGTTTGAAAGTTCCTCACAAATATATTATTATGACATTAAAAAGAACATATTTTTTCTTCTGATTTCTACAACCAGCCTGCGCGCATTTTATAACGATGTATATTGCGAACACTGCAGAACAATATAATAATATTCTTCAAATTTATAATATCGCAGTGAACCGTCTCGCCTGAGTATAACATACAATAGACGATAAATATTATAATATCATATAAAAAAATCGCACTGCATGTTGCAGGATGGCATACGTGAAACAGGCACACCAACGATATTATATTATTACGTTCTAAGGATTATAATAATATGTAGCTGTATTTCAGGTAATCATATGATAATAATATATAGGCCATACAGGGTATCGTATGGTTACCAGGTCCTTGGTTATATTTATCGTGTTCATGTTAATAACTGTAAAAGGCAAATTCGGTCGATTTGTATATAATATATAAACCTACACCGAAATCCGCATGACAATATAATATCGTACTATACTTTTGAGTTGCAATATTATGATTTATATTTTATTTATAAAAACTCTCAGATATGTAGTAAATATATAGAGGGACTTGAGTGAGCGGAGATAAAGTAAACGATTTTCATACCATAGTATCATGTATGATTATTATACCCATCACAAGATGGATGCCAGCAACTCAAACGCCAACGGTTTCTTTTGCGTTTAAATCGTTTTAAAAAAAAAACAATATTATTCTTTACACTTTTTTCGAACGTACGCACATTATCAAATCAAATATTTCTGAAAGCTAACAAAATGTTTATCATACAATATATGAAATACTACTCATACTGTGTAATAGTATATTGTAGTTTTTTTTTCTTATTAATCTCATAATATATGACTTATAGCGGCAGAGCTGGTGGATTAAATGTTGTCTATTAAATTATTTGATGTTACAAAAAACAGGATTTTCTTGTTCTGGTCTGGGTTGGGTCCTAGGGTCGAGTCAAGAGTTTCGGTAAATTTGAGGTCCATTGGCTCTTGTTTGTATATAGACGGAATCCTATCAGGATATGTTTGACCGTGAGTAGTTGGCCACAAGCTTCCTGCTTCGCAGCTGGGAGGTTCTTTTTTTGACATGAGAAATCCATGAGTTAGCCTGGTATGAACAATTCTTAGACGGTTTATTGTGGTTTCGTCCTTACGATTGAGATTATGGTTATTCCATCTGAAGGTTATTGTCTTGAGCTGGTTTAGTTTTTTGGTCTGGCTATTATTGATTATATGCCATTTTTTCCTTATATGTGTTTTCAATGAATTTTTGAAGTCTTCGTAGGTAAGAGAGTCTAGTACGGTCGTATCAGTGTGGGAGACGGCCATTTTGGCATATTTATTCTCAGTTTCGTTACCTACAATTCCGATATGTCCTGGATTCCATATGAGTATAATTTGTTTTTTTTATTTTTAGCTTCATCAAGTTTACTTTGGATGAGGATTGCGATATCACTTGGGTTGGATTTGTTTTTTATACTATTTACGGAGCTGAGAAAATTTAGCTTGGTGTTAATTTGATAATTGTTATCCTGAGAGGGGTAATGTTGAATTCACGAGGGATAATTCTGACTGAGGTGAATACATTTTCATTGGTCAGCCTAGTAATTTCATTGTTTATGTTACTGCGTCTAACTTGTCTTGCTATGTATTTAGTGTATTTTTTCAGTGACGGAGGGGGTTCACCAGTTATGTAATAAATACTGAGTGTTGGACTGCTTCGAAAGGCTCCTAGTGCTAATCCGCTACTGTTTATTGTGTCAGTCAGTCTTAGTTGATTTGGCTGCTGACCCGCTGTTCTATATAATATTGCCCAGTAGTTGATTTTGGATTGGATGGTTTCATTGTATAATTTAGTGAGAGACTTGGAATCACCACCCCATGAAGTATGTGATAGTATTTGGATTATTTTTAGGGATCTGATTGTGGATTTTTTAGGTGTTTTATGTAGGGTGTCCAAGTTTTACGTCTGTTGAATAAAACTCCTAAAATTTTAACCGTACTTTTATTGACAATTGAGGTATTATTTAGCTTAGTTTCTATTTCATTGACTCTCTTTTTTGTGGAAATTGAGCAAATGGACTTTCCAGTGGTAAAGTTGAATCCGGTTTTATTTTCCCAATTTTCGATGTTATTGGAAGTTATTTGTAAAAATGATTGCACGGTTTCAACGTTGTTACTCCTACACCAGTAATTGAAATCGTCAGCAAGCCAGTTGCATCTTATTGAGAGGTTGCAGTTCTGCGTGATGTCGTTAATTGCAATGAGGATAAGTGTTACTGAAAGAGCTGAACCTTGTGGTACTCCATTTCCTTGCTTGAATTCACATGATAGATGATTATTGGCTTTTACTTGAAATTTGCGGTTTGAAATAAAGTTAGTTATAACTTATAACTCATACAATTTAGCGATCTATCTCGGCGTAGGATTGAATTCAGTTTAATTATAATGTTATGTCTCATTAATTTAACTATTACTTTTGGGCTTTGACAGATGTCTATAGCAAAAAAAAACCCCGTGGGGGTTGTAACACCCGAAATCCCCCCTACTTTTATATACCACTTACCTATTGTGAGTTGTGAGGTAACTTTTATAATTATTTTAAATCACTAAAAACCTATGTGTGTAATAAATTGGAAAATATTTAAATATTATTGTATTTTATCATCACCGATTAGAATATAATTTATATAGTGAAATATTTATAAGAATATTCAATTTTATAGTCATGTATGTAGATCGTTTTATTTGTATTTATTAAATAAGACAAAATAACTAGCTAATACGCTAATTCTTTAAAATCCAATTTATAATTACAATGATCAGTTTTATTTTTTTAATATTTTAACATATTTTAGACTTAAAATAAATAACCAAACATATTATATTTTATATTATGCTACAGTATAACTAATCATATAATATTATGACAATATGCTATAAATTACAATGCTCTTACTATGTTAACTTTTCAGTAGGTTACAGTAAACAATATTGTATTTCAATAGACACAACATAGAATATTTAAAAATTGTATGTACCTGCATTTCGAGTTGTTTTATATTAAGGCAACTTACTGTGTACTGAACCATTATCATTTCTTTTTTTATTTATCAACACACTTTTCCATAGTGTACAGATACAATTGGTAATTAACTTAATTTAACAGATTATATATAGCTAACTAGTAAATTAAAATACCTATTAAATGATTAATGTCTTTCATTTATATAAGACTAAAAACACGTTATAAAAAAACTTTGAACACATATTTGTCTTTCAGGGGACACTCTTTGACTTTCAGGGAACACAGTATTTTAGTTTCTGATACGTTGTGATATAATAATACACTGGTCTTAAACGACTCAAAACGACGTGCATTGATATAGATGATATAATTTTAAATATTTTTATGTTTTGAGTGATTGAGCTAGGATTATTGCAAACATATTTTATCAACAAATCATCAAAATCGTGTTTACGACTTTTGAGGGAATTATTGTTATAATAATATGGTAAATAAAAATATATTATAACGCAACTTAAACCATTATAGAAAATAATGTACGCGTAACGAGTTGAATGGTTTTAATCATAATATTTTATAATATTACGTTCATAATTAATTAGTCATTATCAGTAATAGGTACTCTTAATTAATAAAATAACAGTTTTTATTTCGTTCAATAATTGCATCCACTGCTTTTATATCGGCTACGGACAAAGGTGATATTTAATGGATAAATGGAAATGTATAAAACACAATAGTTCTTTATATTTTAATAAGAGTTTAAATGTTATTCTAATTGTAATAATGTAATGTAATTCATAACTAGGTACCTATGTAATGATACCCACACAATGACATACAATTGACATTGGACATATTATTATGTATTTCGATACCAATTATAAATATAACAAATAACAATATAACTTAAACTATATTCAACAAATTAACACAAATAATTGGTAAACCAAAATATAAACTTACTCAGAACCGATGTTTTCAATAGTTCAACGTCATAATTATTATCCTCTATGAGTATATTATAATATATATATATATATATATATATATATATATATATATTTCCAACTGCATAATGTAACAATAAAACCAATCATTGAGTTCGTCGGCTCACTGTAGCTAACAATGAACAATAAAAGTTATTTAAATATTCAAGTTTTCTAATTATATTATTGAAACCTTAGATTTAGTGCCACGATGATATTATTATTACTATATTGGTTTGTCGGTGGATGACAATTTATTTTTCTGGTGCTTAAATAATTCAAAATAGAAAGTTTACTGTAGTTCATACGCACTTAACACATGGCTATAATTTGTTTTCTTGCCGTTATAGGTGTTTTCCCAATAGGCCACACATATAGTTATTACTTATTGCAGTGGATACCAAAACCATTTCCGATGTTATGTGTAGGTGCATCGTGCATATCATATCATACATTAATATTATACTTCATATCGTCGAGCCTATAAAAATTATTAATAAGTGTGAAATCTACATGGCGAACCGATCGTTTTGAACGCGATCATTGCCCAAAGACGCTTAGTTTAAAAGCGAATATCCATTACACCTACCTAACCTGATAATTTAAACTTTATAGCATTATACAGAGTGATTCACCAAGTGTGATTACCGCTGTTTACACTTGCATTTATTCAAATTCTAATTTTTAGAAATTTGTATGTAACCATATTTTCAAATAGGTACTTGAATTCTTCATGCCATTACTAATTAATAAAAATATATTAATATTTCATAATTTGTAAAAATTAACTGAGTACAAGAACGCCCGCGGGGGGGGGGGCACGGCCCCCCGCTCATTTAGATAATATATAATTTGTATAGCATTTTATTGCATTTATTTATTTTCATTTTATATAGGTTTAGCAGTCTTGGAGGGCGATAGGGAGGACTGATAACTGATAAGGTGCCACAAAATTGTAAATTTTTTTTTAAGATATGATATAAAAAACAGAATTTAAGATAAGTGTATTATTTTTTTGCTGAAGAGAAAAATGTCGGCCTTGAATGAGTATAATAAATATAAAGTACGCACTGGAGTAAATATTACACAATATAATATACTTAATAAATTATATAAAAGACAATAAGTCTTAGAACATATATAATGTTAAATAACTCAAAAAGTACTTTAGCTCTAAGTACCTAACCTGCTCCGTGATATCCTCTTTCATTTAAAAAAAACTGCATGACAATTTGATAAGAAGTTTCGAAGCCAAACCGTAACAAAGATTTCCTCTTTTGCTTGATTTCAGTTTTATATATATATAGATGTATAATAATTGAAAATAAAAACAAAATCGAAATTTGTATGAATGCATTCAGGTCGAAAAGGGAAAGAGCCGTAAGCCTAATACATCTCGGTGAATCCCTCTGTATATATTACAGGTACCAGGTACCGGGTGGCTGGTACGTACTGTACCTGTAGTAGTGTATTGTAACCATTGACGATAAATGTATCGATAATGTTCAATTGGTCTTTCCTTTAAAATTACATATTATAGGAACGTATATACCTACTCAACATAATATATTATATTGTCTTGATTTCATTCTCGATCATTGTTAATTTTAATAACTACAGTCCATACGATATATTGATATAATTTTACGATTGCAGTATATATAGATGTATAGGTATCTGGAGGTATACACACTCGCGTCATCTGCGAATAGTCTATTCGTCAGACAGAACAATATAATAGCTGTATAAATTAATAATAATATAATAGGGACACGATCGCTGTACCGTCGAATTACGGTCACCTTACCGTACGTCATGTTACAATATACCTACCTACCTACCTACCTATATTATGTTCAATAACGAAACGAAAACAATACACGGCCGGCTACACTTACCCGTTGAGTTTAGAAATCGCAGAGGAAAAGAATGACAGAGAATCGGAATCGGCGCCGGAGACTGCGGCGAAAAATGGCGTAAAATAATAAATAACTGCCTGCCTACAAGAGTGCCTACCCATATACCTACATATTATTATCACGTATAATAATATATTATATTTATTGTTTGTATCTGTTATAATAACCGCGGATAACTGCAGCGACCCATAATCGTGTCTGGTCCGACACAGAGCGATTCGAGCGATTTCTTAACCGTGCAGTGCGCATTTAATGATACACCTATCCTATACACTATAATAATATAATATATTTTAATAATATGATGCCAACACGCGTGCCATTCCAGAACAATGCGGTGCACTTGTCGTTATTGTATACCTAATAATGATAATAATAATATATTATATAGGT